TTGTATTTCAATACATTTACTTGAATACGTGTTCAACAGCATGTTATCAAGTTGCATTTCATATGCTATCTTAGAATAGCCGAGCCTATTTTAGTTGCATTTTTGCATGTGTTGCATTAGGCATCTTAACATAGCTAGGATCATGCATTGATTACTAACTAGTTGTTGTTTTGGCTCGGAGTACACTGTAAGTGTTTATGCTTTAGCATCCCTACATGTGTGTTATTGATTGCCATGACAGCATGCTTGCCATGAGGCTATTTGCTTAAATGATATAACTGCCTGAATGCCTGTGGGTGAAGGTTGGATTGCTTGAATTAAAACAATTCATTGAAATGCGAGTTTTAAGCCCACTTGCGAGTGGCAAAATTATGTTTTCTAAGCCCACTTGAGGGTGGCAAATCCACGTCTTAGCCTACTTGTGAGTAGCACCTTCAAACCATTTTCAAACAAACAAATATGAGATGTTTTGTTCCAATTTAGGCGATCCAGTCTATACTTGTGTGCTGTGCGCATCACGTAGTAAGGTTAGCTAATAAACCGAAATAAGAACGCATGTGTTATCAAAAACAAAATATTATGTTAGTAAAGGCCGATCTTTGATCGGGTAAGCGGGGGTGCTCATTGCATGACCTTTCCCTCTCGTACCCAAGTTCCCGAGCCGAGGCAACTTTGGTGATGACGAACACGTGGCCTTCGGCACAAGTCAGGGTTTCCTAAATTTCCCAAAGTAAAAACATTTAGGTGGCGACTTTGTATCTGGCAAAGCAGTCCATGTTTGGCACTTCTTTATTAAAATCAGTTTTCTAAAACGATTTGCCGGGTTTGGACTCTTTGGTGATTTATCAATCTTGCATTGCACTTTGCAAGATTAGATTCAGAACCGTGACATTGAGTCCAAACTGTAGTACCTAATGAACAAAACAATTTTGCGCCTTCACACGCGGAGCCGGGACATTCGGGCACGTCTACAGGGAATCAAAGATATCAGAATGAATAAGTTGGATATTTGATGATGGAGAAGGATAAGAAAAATGTATTCTTCTTATACACACTGCTAAGTAACAGTAAGTCTTTCTCTGGTGTAGCCCGTCAAGTAAGTCAACAATGTAAATTGTAATTATGTACTCTTCAAACAAGCTTGTCTTCCATCAACATTTGGTATGACGGAAAATGAAAATCAGCTGAAACATTTTCCATTGATCATGAAATAAGTTTGTTTGGGTGAAAAATATTTTTTGAACTAAACTCTTGTCCTACCAATGACATCAGACGGCCTCCACCTCCACCACCCTAACCACTATTATCGCCAACACTACCACCACAATTTATGCTCCATCACTACCGCCACCATTACCACACCAACATTACCACTGCCACAATCACTAGCACATTAATTTTAAAGTCATAATCAAATATTGAAAAATGTTTGTTTTTTATTTGTAATAAATGTTTTCAACAACAAAACAAATTTAACTGAAACAAATAGAGTGGAAATTCTAGTGGTCCCAAAGCTAGCAAAGGTTGGCCATAAGTCACAAAAAAAGTTGGAGTTGGTATTACTAAGCAAGTAATGCAATAGTTTAAGATTGGAATTGTTAGAGAGATGGAAGAAAAACCAACGTGGGTAGGTGGGATATTTCTTAAGGAATATGGGCTAAAAATAAGTAGTTTGAGGTGGACACATGTTGAACTTTCAAAGTGGTCGACTCGTACTGAGAGAGAGAGAAAGAGAGAGATTTCCAAGTAATCCAATACAAGGTCTACCCTCAGGCTCTGTATATTAACTTTCATTTTAATTTTGGTGAAATATTAAGATATGATCCCATGCACTCATTTTTATAATCAAAATTTTCAATTCTTCAGAGCTCTAGATTAAGTCATAGACGTGAAGAGTCTACTTTCAAGACAGACATTTAGGGGGAAAAAAAATTTAACACTGGGTGGGGAATGAAATCTTGTTAAATTTACGATGAAAATTGATTGATTTGTATTGCCAATTTTTTCGCATGCAATTTTAGGAAATTTTAACTAGGGGTGCAACTTAAGCATATTCAACATGGGTTGAGGGGTTGCTCAAGTTGTGCTTAGAATTGGCTATCCTTCCCGAGTCCGACCTCTATCCTAATTTTGTGTGCTCAAGGCTGGCTCAAGCTCAATATATTGAACTTGGGGATAAGAAACTGGCGCACATAAAGTTTTTTAAAAAAAAAATGTGGTTTCATTCACTAATTACAGTTTGTTAAGTACAAACAACCAACTGATATGAAATTGGCATGAACAACTAAACATAAAATCATAATATGCTCCTACTCATGACAATAGTAGCACCAACATAATTGGAGTTAAAAAAAAAAATAGGGACAATTAAAAAAAAAAAAAACTCATAAGTTTGAGCCTTCTAACAAAATAAACTGAGTATTTAATTTTGTCAATTTCAACCATATTATTTTGATTTGTTTTTAATTTAAACCATTTGTCTATTTTTGTATGTAAAATGGATGAGAAAATGGCATCTTAGTCATTAAAAAAATGAGAAAAATGTTGTGTATGGTGATACAATACAATAGGGTATTTATATCTAAGGTAAATAGGCATGTGTCATAATATGATTAGGGCTAGGACTAAATTAACTCGAATTGACAACTTTGAAGATCAAAATGATAAAAATTAAAACTTAAGAGACTAAAATGATAAGGAGTGACTTTAGGGACTAAAACTGTCTTTTAGTCACACTGTTCATGTTAACAACATAGACGAATGTTAGAGCTATATGACCAAATTGACTCAAATTGACAATTTTGAGGACCAAAATGACAAAATTGAAACTTAAGGGACTTAAAAAAAAATAAAAAAAATCGCTTACTTTAGGTATTAAAACTGTCTTTTATGCAAGTTTTGATATTTGGAAAAAAGAAAACTAGTTCACGCACTTGGTAGTGCCCAAGAAAACTACCCTTATTTTCTACATTTTCTTTCTTCACAACTTGACAAATATTTTCATAAATTTAAGATCGAAATACAATCCGAAGATTATACAAGAAATATCTTATTTCCATTCATTTAAATTGTTTTTAGAAATGTCAAAGTTAGTAGTAAGAGAGGTACAAACTACTTAAGGATCAAAGGTTGTTAATTGAATTAGGTAGTTGGTTAGAAAAAAAAAAATCTCATGAAACTAGTTTGAGAAGAAAAATTATCCAATGCTCCTACAGATAATTCAAAGAGAACGGCTTCTTTCCCATCTGAATATGGACTAAAGAATGTTGTTTGAGCACTCAAATTGTCTACCCACTAACATATTAAATATTGGGTCAAGTTTTTTATTTGGATCTAATTGTGAATTTGTAAATAAGTAGACAAAATATTAATCATTAACTTATAAAAGTTGTCAATGTGACAAACATCTATTGCTCATACTAAACTAAACGTCCAATTTGAATATCCTGATTGGTTATGGATTATGGACATCTAAACTAGAGGAGCTCCTCCCATAACCAGAAACTGAAGGGAACAACAAGACACATTAAGATCAGTTGACTTACAAATAAATGTTATCTTGTTTTTTAATGTTTATAACAATCATTCAGTTAATAGTTTATTGTATTTGGGAGAGTTGGCAGAGAAAATACAACAATATAGCACACCAAACTATCACAATTGAAAAAAGTAAATCCCACTATTGATTGTATTTCCATGATTCTTTTCTTGCTTATGAACAACATTTCCAATCAATAGTCTCCATATTGCCATTTTTCTACTGTAATTAATCACAACGTTCCGATGTCTCAATAGAAACAAGTGTTAGTTAATATCTCCAATGTGATCCCCTAGTCACCATTGAATTGAGAATGTTTTTACCTCACAACAAGCAAGCTTGGCAACATTTCAAAAATAAGTAACACATCATTATTTTCAATGCGAATTCTTTATCAAGTAACCAACAATTTTGTCATTCAAAAATGATTAATGATTAAGAATGAAACAAGGGGGTGGTTTGAGTTGTAACTTGAAAGATTGCATTTCGAAGTAAAAAACTCAGCAAGGCCAAGTTTGATTGAAATCTAATTTAAAATCAACTACGTACAAAAAGTGCAAATCTTTAAAGGTTACTACATGATGTGAGAAAAGAAACAAGAGTCATGACATGCAACTCTTATTTAACTTGTGCTTTAAGAAAACTAAACAACTTAACAAAGCATTAGAACTCAATATAGAAACAAGGGTAAAAGCTTTTGAAGTGATCCTGTATAGCTGCTATTCGGATGCACATGGACTCAAATGCAACAGCTACAGGAGACACCCCTTTAGGTTGACACCATTGATTTATTGTGCTCCTTAATAGAACAGATCTAGTTTTGAAATAACAGCATTAGCAACTGAATAATAGCATATACATAGAAACCATAAAAGATAATTCAACAAAATAATGCTTCAAAGATAAATTCTACTTGCCTAAATGACACCATTTGTTTTTGCTGATTTCTTCCTTTACTGCATCAGTGGGCACTCTTCTTGGACCTTGTAACCTTCTTATATTGTTTTCCTTTAACAAATTTCATCAGGCATTCTGGACTTTAAGTTACAAACATAAGATATCCTATAACCATTCCGAATACAAAGCTGCATCCATACCTCGTCATAACAACTTTCCAGTTAAATTCACCCTCCCAATCTGAATTTTCATCATGTTGGAGCTTTGGTGAAGGTAGCAACGGTTGTTGTTCCTCACATATCTTTGATAAGGGGAATCCACATAAGGCCAAGTTCCCATTGTATGAATCATTCCCAAATGTATTAAATTGGCTCCCTTGAGGAATTCATCCCACTAGTTGGTTGTCTGAAAGATTTAGTACCTCAAGAAACATTAGACTTGCCAGTTGCTATGGAATCTCCCCAACAAGCTCGTTTGAGGAAAGGTCCAATGATTTAAGGTTTGTTAAATTTCCAAGTGAAGTTGGCATATGGTCTATAAGGTTGTTATGAGATGAGTTAGGACCTCAAAGTGAATTAAGTTTCTCAATGGATTTCAGAATCTCTCCTTGGAATTTGTTACTTGATAAATCAATAATTGAGAAGACTGTTAAGATTCTTGAATATTCAATCTCCAATCCTTTCATCATCACCACCACCACCACCATAGAATATTGGTAATAAGTCTCACCCGTGTATTTCAGTTTCATTTCATGTTCATCCACATTCATCATAGCTTCAAATTGTTTGATATAGTATGTTGTCAAAAGCCTAGTGAACTCATTGTAAGATATGTCAATAATTCTCAACTTAGGGAAAAGATGTTTGCCCTTGGTCTTGAAGGTGCCTATGTGACCATGAAACCTATTAAACCTCAAGACAAGCACCTGCAAGTTTCAAAGAGTTCCCAACTAGTGGGGGAATGTATCACTTATCTTGTTTTTTTTCCAAGATCTAGAACTTCTAAGTGTCTACAATTGAGCAAAGATCGCGGAAGTTGTCCTTCAATTTGGTTTCCATTCAAGTTAAGATTCCTTAGCATGTTGCCTTTGGTAAATGTTGCAGTAAACCTGCCATGAAAGCTATTGATCCCTAAATTCAGCACCAATAGACTATTGCTGAAGTTTTCCAAACACTGTGGAATCAACCCACTCAAACTGTTATTAGACAAATCAAAAACTCCAAACCGCCTTAGATTGCAAATCAATGTAGGGATTTCTCCGATCAATTTATTATTTAAGATAGAGAAAACATATGTGATGTTAGGTGGAACAGGGAGTGGTCCTTGGAGTAAGTTGGAGTGCAGGTCAATATATTGTAGATTCTTCCATGGAAGATGCTCTAAACTTGTAAGGAAATTATGAGAAAGATTTAAATTATTCAATGAATCTTTCCCCACATTGAATAACCATTTTGGAACTTCACCATGAATTTTATTGTTTGAAAATCTAGAGAAAACAATCCAGTTTGTTCTCTCAAGAAGTTTGGAAATTCGCTCAAGTTGCAAGAAGCTAATCCTATAGTGTCAAAGTTGGTCAAGGTAGAGTTGACACTATTGTTGATGCTTAATGAGAGACCATTATATGAGAGATTAAGATAGGTCAGATTTTTAAGCTTTAGAAGCTTATCTAACTCCACTACACCACATAAGTTATTTGATGAAAGCAGCAAGTATGTTAGGTTTTGGAGTTCATAAACTGGTCCTGGAATTTGTCCATGCAGCTTATTGTTTCTCAAATCTATATTAACCAATGAAGATTGAGCAAACAACCAAGACGAAATTGTCCCATTGAGTGTGTTATTATTCAATATGATAGAAGTTAGCTTTGGAAGCCCAATTGCATATGAAGGAATGAGGCCAATTAGCTGATTATCAAAAAGGTGTAGTTAAGTTAGTTGGCTCATGTTGCCAAGGGAATCCGATATTTGACCATTCAAATTGTTTCCGGGAAGATCCAAATTAGTAAGTTGGCTCATGCTGCCAAGGGAATCGGCCAATTAGCTGATTATCAGAAAGGTGTAGTTGAGTTAGTTGGCTTATGTTGCCAAGAGAATCCGGTATTTGACCGTTCAAATTGTTTTTGGAAAGATCCAAGTTAGTAAGTTGGCTCATGTTGCCAAGGGAATCTGGTATTTGTTCGTACAAATTGTTTTTGGAAAGATCCAAGTGAGTAAGCTTTGCAAGGTTTGAAATTGATGAGGGGATTTGACTGCTGAAATTGTTAAACCATAACTTGGTGATTCGTGTAAGGTTCCCACAAGAGGCTGGAATCGATCCTGAAAAGCCACATTCAAAGAGTAACAAAATATTCAAGGCTTTAAGATTGCTGATTGATTCAGGAAATTGGCCAGAAAAACTTGTGTAGGAGAGATCAAGAAACTGAAGGGAACTAGTCACATTGAAGTATAGAAGTTTACCTGTGAGTTCCAAATTTCCCTCTAGTTTGAGCTCTCATAGGTTTGGAAAGTGAAAAATGTTTTCTAAGAATTTCCCATGAAATTGACAATCACCAAGGCTAAGAGATGTCAAAGAAGATAGATTTAGTATAGCATGAGGTAAAGGTGAAGAGATATTCAACAAATCAAGATGTAGTTCTCTTAATTGGGTTAGGTTTTGAAGGAGCATATTGAAAGTGTGTTGTTCAATCACCGAAGAAGAAACATAATCATTTAAATTAGAGAGATCAAAGGAAATCGATTTAGATAGATGGAAGATTTTTGAAGGAATTAGGCCTTCAAAATCATAGAAAGAGAGGTTGAGATGGATCAAACTTGCAAACAAGCCAAACTTGGATGAAATTCTAGACAAATAGAAGTAATTGAAAGCAAGATTGAGGCTTTGAAGATGACGAAGATAGAAGTGGGTGTTGTTGGCATGGATGGTGCCCTAAAGCTGGCTACAACTGTGGTCAAGTCCAATCACATGACCATTCAACCAGTCGCACGTGACCCCCTCCCACGAGCAGCAATCAATATTCTCATTTCAGAACTCCATTTTAAGATGAGAATCAGAAAAACGATCTATAGAGGCATCATGAGTTATGGTAAATGTTCTTTTAAATTAAAGAAGTGAAAATCTTGTTGGAACAATCTTTCGTGTATAATAAATAACTTGAAACAAATCAAACAAACAAAAATAAATTACTAACATAATTTATTTACCGAAACAACTTAACAACAAAAACGATCAAGTCGAGTGTGTGATACTATGTCCTTAAGACAAATTTTGCCCCGCTCAGGTGCTTACGGAATAATTGTGTCTATCTCCCAGGATACAATGATCTTACACAGATTGTATTAGCACTAAAAACAATCTGTTTCGACGAACTAGAACCAATGTTCTATACTCTCAGAAATTTTCCTAAAAATAATATGAAGAACATATATACAAGAGAGAAAAAAGGAAGGCAAGAAAAGAAGTTCGGATGCTATAGACTGCTAGAAGAGATCTTATATTTGTAGGCTAAATGGTGACTCTTTGGAATGGCCAAACAGGTATGGTTTTAAACTGAACAGGTCTGGTTTTTGAACTGAACCAGTGCAATCTGTTGAACCAGTTTTGAATTTGTCTGGTGCAATCTGTTTAAACAGTTTGAAAAATCTGTTTGAGTCTGCTAGAAAATGGATTGCAAGAGGCACTGTTTGGACAAAAAATTTGAATTCAAATTTGGCGTAAAAGTTTGAATTAATTTCATTTAGAAATTCAAATAATTTTCCCACAAGAATTTGAAAAAATTCAAATAAATTTTGTCCAAAAAAATAATGTTAGGACCCAACCCACAACCCGCACCTGGCCCGGGGCGACAGCGCGTGCGTGTGTGCGGTGATTTGAGCCAAAGCCTACTTTGTCCATAACTCCTCCCTTCTACAAACTTGGGGTGCCCCTTGGGGCCCAACCCACGTATGTCCACCTAGAGCTTATATACTCACATAAGCTCACTTAAAGTTTCAATGTAGGACAACCATTTTAAGGTAACCCATATTTAACTTTTTTAATTTCCCATTCTACGAACCCGAAAATGACGTCAACTTCCCATTCACTCGTATGGTTTTGAAGAATCGTCTTTACCATGTGACTTGTCATGCGGCAAGGAACACGTCACTTCTTTGGAGCCACCCCAATAGACGTGTGGCCTCACTTAAATTTGGGCTAAAAGTTGGCCCAAAATAAGCCTATAAAAACCATAATTTCCAACAATCCCCCACATGAATGGAATTTGACAGAGATAAAATGCAACAACATGATCTTATTACAGAGAGTACAACAATCGGAGATATTCTACAAAGGATAGATAGCTTTTGGCTTTGAACATTTCCTTGTGAGACACTATCAGATTTACTAGCTAACCAGTGAACATAATGTCTTAAACTATTCAGCCATTTGTGTAAATCAAGATAATAAGACCCACACAATACATTACCAGACATAGTTTAGTTCTCACTATTGTGTTCATTTTGGCCCAAAACAACCTGGTCTTTCATGAGTGCTTTAGAGAATTGTAGCCCTTCACAAATCTCATAGAACCGGCCCAATTCACACTCATATAGGTGAATCTTATGAAGAGTATCCTGCCATACTCCACTAGGTATTCCTAGATATAAGAATCATTGAAAGTATTAATTAACCTAAAACGTTACAGACATCACAAATTCAAACTAGAAATGGATAAGAGTTTGACTCCCCGGTGATCCTTATGAGTCATACACAACTCAGTTGTCCCTTTGAACCTAGATCTTACGAGCTCCAGTCAACTAGGTTGGGTTGCTATTGTGGTAACGCTTATTTAATAGGCTTAAGTCTCATTCCCCTCGATGAATTCTCAACTAACTCTTTTGCTAACCCTTTGGTTAGTAGATCCACTATGTTATCTTTAGACTTCACATATTCAATGGAAATAACTCTATTAGAGAGTAGTTGTCTCACGCTGTTATGTCGACAACGAATGTGTCACGACTTACCGTTATACATATGACTCTGTGCTCTACTTATTACTGATTGACTACCACAATGTATGCATATAGCAAGCACCAGTTTTGGCCATATTGGAATATCTTCAAGGAAGTGACGAAGCCATTCTACTTCTTTTTCCAGCTTTATGTAAAGCTATAAATTCTAATTCCATAGTAGACCTAACAATGCAAGTTTGTTTAGAAGATTTCCAAGATACAACTGCACCACCAAGAGTAAAGATATATCCACTGGTGGATTTTGAGTCTCTAGTTTCCGATATCCAATTTGCATCACAGTATCCTTCAAGTGTTGTTGGATATCTAGTATAATTTAGCCCAATGTTACGAGTAAATCTAAGATATCTTAGAACCCTTATAATAATTTTCTAGTGTTCTACTCCTAGATTACTCGTATACCTACTTAATTTACTTGCTGTATAAGCTATATTTAGGCGAGTGCAGTTCATCAAGCACATTAAGCTTCCAATAATTTGGGCATACTCTAATTGAGAAATACTTTCCTGTACATTCTTAGAAAGAAACAAATTAACATCCACAGGTGTTTTAGCAAGATGGTCATCATCTTTGCTAAATTTGTTAAGTATTTTCTCAATGTAATGTGATTGTGGCAAAGCATATCCTTTTAATGTTTTGGTAATTTTCATACCAAGAATTACATCAGTAATCCCCATGTCTTGGTAGTTTTAATCATGTCATTATTACTACCTATGATGAGCGTATCATCCACATAAAGACATACGATAACATAGTCCTTTTTTGTGTTTTTAATATAAATACATTTGTCACATTCATTAATTTTAAATCCATTTGACATCATTAACTTGTCAAATTTCTCTTGCCATTGCTTTGGCGCTTGTTCTAAACCGTATAATGATTTAACCAATTTACACACTTTCTTTTCTTTTCTTAGAACAGAAAATCCTTTTAGTTGTTCCATATAAATTTCTTCATTTAACTCGCCATTTAAGAAATCTGTTTTCACATCCATTTGATGAATTTCTAGATTGTTCAAAGATGCAATGGCAATTAGCATTCTAATGGATGTTATTCTAGTAACTAGTGAGTATGTGTCAAAGTAATCAAGACCTTCTTTTTGTCTATATCCTTCGACCACAAGTCTTGTCTTGTATTTGTCAATTGATCCATCCGTTTTCATTTTTCTCTTGAAAATCCACTTGTACCCAAGAGATTTACAACCTGGTGGCAAATCCACCAATTCCCTAGTGTGATTTTATAAGATGGATTCAATTTCGCTATTTACAACCTCTTTCCATAAAGGAGCCTCAAGACTGGACATAGCTTTTTTGAAAGTTAAAGGCTCATTTTCTAACAAAAAAGTTAAAAAATCTAGACCAAAAGATTTTGAGGTTCTGGCACGTTTACTACACCTAGGTTCCTCTTCCTCATTTTGATCTAACTTTTGCTTTTGTTCTTGATATTGTTCTTGATCGTGACTAGTAATAACATCATAAGATCTTTTATTAGTATTAGTCTCTTGTCCAGTTTTAATAGGAAACACATGTTCAAAGAATGATGCATTCCGAGATTCTATAATAGTATTTACATGTCTGAATGTTCTGACTTATGAATCAAAAACTGATATGCACTACTATTCTTAGCATAACCAATGAATATGCAATCAATAGTTTTAGGACCTATCTTAGTCCCTTTATGACTAGGAATAGCCACTTTAGCCAAACACCCCTACACTTTTAAATATTTGTGGGATGGTACTCTCTCTTGTCACATTTCATAAGGTGTTTGGTTCACTTTCTTTCGAGATACTTTATTAAGAATATAATTAGCAGAAAGTATTGCTTCCCCCCACAAGTTCTGAGATAATACAGAACTTATTAACATGGCATTCATCGTTTCTTTTAAAGTCCTATTTTTCCTTTCAGCAATTCCATTTTGCTGAGGTGAGTAAGTAGCGGTGGTTTGATGAATTATTTCATATTCTTTACAAAACTCACCAAAAGGTGATTCATATTCAACACTTCTATCACTTCTTAGTTTTGTAATCTTCTTACGAAGTTGATTTTCAACTTCATTCTTATATTGAATAAAAGTTTTCAAAGCTTCATCCTTGGTTCGAATTAAATAAACATAATTATATCTAGTATAATAATCTATGAAAGTGATAAATTATTTTTTTTTTCCACCTCTAGTTTGGATTAATTTAAAATCCAAATGTCACTGTGAATTAATTCAAGTGGTTCTGTACGTTGTTCAATTGAATGAAAAGGAGTTTTAATTAGTTTTGCCTCAACACAAATTTCATATTTATAATTTAGATCAATTTCAAATTTAGGTAAACATTCTATATAAATTAATCTACTCAAAGATCCATAATTAACATGTCCTAGTCTACCATGTCACAAATTTGAAGACTCAAGCAAGTAAGAAGAAGATGTATTTTTATTAATAACAAAGGGTACAACAGTCATTACATTTATTTTGAAAAGGCCATCAAACATGTAACCTTTCCTTACATACATCCCGTTTTTGGTAAGTACAAATTTATCACTTTCAAAAACTAGCCTAAACCCATTTTTACTTAACAGAGATCCGGAAACAAGATTCTTGCAAATGTTCGGTACGCGCAGCACATTGTTGAGAATGAGTTCCTTTCCAGATGTCATCGTCAGAATAATCTTTCCTTGACCTTCAACTTTTGAAGTCGAAGAGTTGCCCATGAATAGTTGTTTGCCGTTGTCCATCACAGAATAAGATGTGAACATCTTTTTGTCAACACAGAAGTGGCGAGTAGCACTAGTATCCACCCACCATTCCTTAGGATTTCTAACAAGGTTTGCCTCAGAAACAACTTCAGAAAGATTTATGTCATCTATACCATTGGAAATTTTGTCCACTTCAGTCATATTGGCTTGAGCATACTTCTTGCTTGATCTTCCTTTGCCTTTGCGCTTGCTACGGTAATCTTTGGCTCAATGTCCCTCTTTGTCATAGATGTAACATTTGCCATTGAACTTGTACTTCTTAATTTCTCCTCTTTTAGAGATTAGTACGAAACTTTCTCCAGAATACTTCTATCTCTTTGCTTTTGGTGCATGTTCCATCATATTTGCCTTAGACTCCATTGGATGCTTACTAGCCCGCTTCTCAGAATTGCAGTTGTCCTCCTCAATCCTCAAATGCACAATCAATTCCTCCAAAGTCATTTCTTTGCGCTTGTGTTTGAGGTAGTTCTTGAATTTCTTCCAACCTTGTGGTAATTTTTCAATTAAGGCAGCAACTTAAAAGGATTCACTGAGAGAAATGTCTTCTGCATGAATGTCATGCAAAATAAGTTGGAGATCTTGAACTTGACTGATCACAATTTTTGAATCAATCATCACAAAATCCAGAAATTTCCCAACCACAAATTCTTTGAGCCAGCATCTTTGGTTTTATACTTTTTCTCCAAGGACTCCCAAAGTTCCTTTGCCGTCTTGATAGGACTATAGATGTTGTACAATGTGTTATCAAGTCCGTTCAAGTTTCAGCAAAGGAAATCAACATGTTTCCAAGCATCAACCGCAGCAACCACTTGTCGATCAATTTCATCCTCTGTCAGAGTAGGAGCATTCTCACAGAGAAAACGTGTCAGGTTGAGAGTAGTAAAATAAAACAGCATTTTCTACTACCATCTTTTAAAATCAGTTCCTATGAACTTTGCTGGCTTTTCACCGTGATTGACTGGCACAGCCACAACATGAGGAGGGGTTGGAGCAATTGTAGTCACCATACCAATACTGGTTTGAACATTATTTAACTAGTTTCAGCAGCCATAAATTCTAAATTATAAAACAAAATTAGAATTAGAATTTTATATTACACAGAAAATTAAACCATAAACACAAAATTTAATTCTGTAAAAATAGAAGAAACAAGAATTGTAACTTTTATTTCCAATTAATTTGAAAATTAAATTTTATTTAAACAAATTAATTCCATATAGAAAAATATTTCTATAACAATTCAAAAATTAAAATACTGAAAACAGAAAATGAAACTCATAAATTATTTCTGAAAACCAAAATTAATTTCTGACCAACTTCACAAATGTATGTTCTGAAATTGTTAATGATAAACAGTATATTACTACTATTTGTCAAAGAAAATAAATAGTATATTACTACTATTTGTCAAACAGTATATTAATACTATTTGTATTTTCCAACCAGAATATTACTTTGTATAAGCACAGAAAATAATTTATGTAAGAAGAATAAAGGAAGAAAATGAAGCAAATGAAAAATTCTGTATAAACAGAATAAGTTGAACCTGTCTTAAGATTGTTGGAACAATCTTCTGTATATAATAAATAACTTGAAACAAATCAAACAAACAAAAATAAATTACTTACAGAATTTATTTACCGAAACAACTTAACAACAAAAATGATCAAGTCGAATGTGTGACACTCTGTCCTTAAGAAAGATTTGCCCCGCTCAGGTGCTTACGGAATAATGGCGTCTATCTCCCAGGATACAATGATCTTACACAGATTGTATTAGCACTAAAAATAATCTATTTCAGCGAACTAGAACCTGTGTTCTATACTCTCAACAATTTTCCTAAAAATAATATGAAGAATATATATGCAAGAGAGCAAAATGGAAGGCAAGAAGAGAATTTAGGATGCTCTAGACTGCTGGAAGAGATCTTGTATTTATAGGCTAAATGGTGACTCTTTGGATGGGCAAAATAGGTATGGTTTTAAACTGAACAAGTCTAGTTTTTTAACTGAACCAGTGCAATTTATTGAACTAGTTTTGAATCTGTCTGGTGCAATCTGTTTAAACAATTTCAAAACTCTGTTTGAATCTACTGGAAATGGACTGGAAGAGGCACTGTTTGGACATAAAATTTGAATTCAAATTTGGCACAAAAGTTTGAATTAGTTTCGTTTACAAATTCAAATAATAAATTTTGTCCAAAAAATTAATGTTAGGACCCAACCCACAACTGGCCAGACCGGCCGGCGACGCGCGCATGTGGTGGTTTGAGCCAAAACCCACTTTGTCCATAACTCCTCCCTTATACAAACTTGGGGTGCCCTTTGGGGCCCAACCCAAGTATGTCTACCTAGAGCTTATATACTCACATAAGCTCACTTAAAGTTTCAATGTAAGACAACCATTTTAAGGTAACCCACATTTGACTCTTTTAATTTTCCATTCCACGAATTTGAAAACGACGTGAACTTCTCATTCACTCATAAATGGTTTTGACGAACGGTATTCACCGTGCGACTTGCCATGCGGTAAGGAACACGTCACCTCTTTGGACCCACCCCAAAAGACGTATGGGCCTCATCCAAATTTGAACTCAAAGTTGGCCCAAAATAAGCCTATAAAAACCATAATTTCTAACAAATGGCTCGTCCTCAAGGCAGGTACGACGTACAGAAGTAAAAGAAGAAGAAGAAGACAAGAGAAATAGCAGTAGAAATTGATGATGAGACATAAGCCAACTCATTTTGTTTTCTTATAGGTAGAAGGATTCACAGAGAGAGAGAGAGATATGAAAAGGAGAGGAGAGTAAGAAGGATAGTACACTACAACAAAATGCATCTTTGGCGACCAAAATTGGTGACTAAAAAAAATTAGTCGCCAAAAGGTGTGGAATTGGCGATCAAAAATTTTTTAGTCGGCAAAAATACAATATTTAACTACTAATTTTTTTTAGTCGGGATATATTGATTATCGGCAACTAAAAAAAATTAGTCGCTAAAAATACCAGAATTGGCGACAAAAAAATTATTTTAGTTGTCGTATATTGAGTTTTTTCTACTAAAACTATTTAATTGCCGAATGTAAAATAAAAAATTATTTTTTATCTTTGGCGACCAAAAGTTTGATCGTCAAAAATATATTTTCAGCGACTAAAAAAATTTTTTGTCGTCAAATAGTTAGTTTTGACTACTAAAATTATTTAGTCGTCGAATGAAAAATAAAAAATTACTTTTTATCTTTGACAACTAAAAATTTAGTTGCTAAAAATTTATTTTCAGCAACTATAAAATTTTTTTGTCAACAAAAAAACTAAATATTTAGAGAGAAATATTTTAAATTTTAGAGGGATTTATGAAATTATTTAACATTTGCCGACAAAAATTAATTTTTTGGTCGCCAAAGTGTGAAAAATTTAGACAAAACAGATTGTCTGTTTGTCTCTCTCTCACCCTCTCTCTCTCTCTCTCTCTCTCTCTCTCTATAACCCAAACAAACCAAACAAAAATGGAGAAATCAGAAGGAGAAGAGTACTTGTTCAAGATATGAGACCATCATTATATGTTTGCGACCAGAAGCTTAGTTGAAGCTTCCTCTGCCATGGCTTATTCTTCAATGGCGCCTCTCCTTTCTTGGTCCGAGCCACAAATGTTTGAATTTTTCGAAGTGCAACTTCAACCGTTGCATCATCCATGTTTGTGAAGCATACCCTAAACCAACCAGGCTCCACACAATGAAAAGAACTCCGCAGAGAGACATTGAGCTTCACTTCTTTGATTATCACATGCCATAGTGCCATTTCATCTTCAAATGTCGGTTCTTTGATCAGAGAACGCAAATCCATCCAACAAAATAGGCCAGCATTGCCTGGTAAACAACTGATTTCCACTTCTTCAAGTCCCATTGTCAAGTGGCGGGTCCATCCAAACCCACCAACCAATCAAACCCTTTTCTAACATTAAATCACCTCTCTGTTCTTGCCTTTTCTTTGATTTTTAGTTTTGATGTTATGTCAAGAAGGTTCTGGATTATGGGTCACTTGAGGGAAGTTAGTTAGGTAGTGGTTGAGAGATTAGTTAGTCAGTTACATCAGTTGTGAATTAGTTAGTCAGTTAGAAGTGTGAAGAAGTAGTTATAAATAGTTGAGGAACTCCCATATGGAGAGGTATGTAAAATTCTAAAAAAATAATACACAGATTCTGCACTTTCTTTTGCTTCTTCTTCCTTAGCTACTACATTGGTATCAGAGCTCCCAGGTTCTTGGCCTGTTAATCCTCTGCTGCCACTATGGCCGACGGAACTAGAGCAGCCCAGGAAGCTAAAAAAATTGAGGAGACATTACGCTCATTAAAGGAGAGTAATGAGAGAAATGCGAAGGAAATCGGGGAAATCAGGAGTTCTCTCAAAGAATTGGGGGATATCAAGGAATTGATTGCTGCCATGAGTGTGAAGTATGATCAAATGGCAGGACACATTTATGGGAAACAGCATGTAGATCAGAGTGACAATTCTAGAATGCTCCGCCAAGAACAGTCAGGGGTTTCTCCAGTAAGGGTTCAAGCCCGTGGGGATTGTCAAGCTCGTGGGGAAAGGATAGACTACCAATCTCATCAACGGTTTGCGAAGATTGAATTTCCTCGTTTCTATGGTGATAATCCAACTGGTTGGCTTTATAAATGTGAAAGATTTTTTGAGTACAATACTGTTGACAATCTTGATAAAGTGAAATTGGCATCTCTTCATTTGGACGACTCGTCTTTGCAGTGGTTTCAATGGTTTGAAAGATGCCATCATCATCTTACTTGGGATTTGTTTACACAAGGACTTCTATCAAGATTTGGCCCAAATTCATATGAGGATGCAATGGGTAACTTAACCAAATTAAAGCAGACCACTACTGTGAGAGCTTACCAAGAACAGTTTGAGGTTTTGGCGAACAAAACTCAAAACCTCCCTGAAACTTTCTTTATTAGTTGTTTCATAAGTGGTCTTAAGGAAGAAATTCAACCAGGGGTATTAATGTTTAAACCAACCTCTATCACTCAGGCTATTGGGTTGGCAAAACTTCAAGAAACAAGTATTGAAGCCATTACCAAGAAGACTAGGTTGGGAACCAAATCAGAAGGCATCTCTCCTTTTTCTGTAAACAGGTCACAAGTGGGTAACGGGGGATATGTTCGAAAAGAGTTATCTAAGGAATTGGAGGAAAAGAAGGCCAAAGGGTTATGTTTTAAGTGCAATGAGAGATATACTAAAGGGCATGTGTGTAAAAACAAACAATTGTATGTTATGAAAGGAGGAGAAGATGGGGAGGAAGATGATCAACTACCAGTTCTTGATGAAGATAAACAAGAAGATGAGGATCCGTTATCTGGGGAGGAACTGCAGATTTCTTTGAATGCTTTAACTGGTACACTCTCTTATAGAACAATGAGGGTTAGAGGTAATGTTAAAAAACACCTCATCATCATCTTGATTGATTCAGGGAGTACACATAATTTTCTGAGTCCAGCAGTGGCCAAAAGAGCTAATATCGAGACTGAAAATACTGATTATTACAGAAGATTTATCCAGCATTATGGTCGAATTTGCTCTCCACTTCATTGTTTGCTCAAGAAAGATTCCTTTGTATGGTCCTCTACAGCTACAACAACTTTTCTTCAACTCAAAGCTGCCCTACTTTCAACACCAGTCCTTGCCTTACCTGATTATAGTAAGGCCTTTGTTTTAGAGTCAGATACCTCTGGCACAGGCCTTGGGGCTGTGCTTATGCAAGATGGACATCCCATTGCCTATTGGAGTAAGGGCATTTCAGCAAGAGACCAAGCTCTATCTACCTACGAAAAAGAATTAATGGCAGTAGTGTTGGCAGTCCTCAAATGGAGGCATTACCTTCTAGGTAGGCATTTCCTTATTAGGACTGACCACCAAAGCCTGAAATATCTTTTGAAGTAGAGAGTGGGAACTCCTTTCCAGCAAAAATGGGTGCCAAGCTATTGGGTTTTGACTACACTATCACATACAAATGTGGGAAAGATAACCAAGCTGCTGATGCTTTGTCCAGGAAAGAAGAGTTGGTCAATACTGTTGATTCAATAGCTATGATTCATGCTTTATCTTGTATCTCTACCAGTTGGTTGGCTGAAGTTAAACTCAGTTGGAGTGAAGATGCTGACATTCAACAGTTGATATTGGACCTGCAGCAAGGTCAAGCTCATGCTGGTTATGCTTTGGACCATGATATTTTAACCTACCATGGTAGGTTGGTAGTTGGGAACTCAACCCTCAGGATGCAACTTATCCAGGACTTCCATTCTTCACCTTTGGGAGGACACTCGGGAATAATCAAGACCACAAAAAGACTGCATAGGAGTTTTTATTGGAAGGGCCTACAGCAGGATGTGGCTCAGTTCATTTCTGAATGTGATACATGTCAGAGGTATAAAAGTGAAAATGTCAAGTATCCAGGTCTATTGCAGCCCCTTCCCATTCCTAATAGGGTATGGTCTGATATTTCCATGGATTTCATTGAAGGTTTACCAAATTCTCAAGGCAAGACTGTGATCTTTGTAGTAGTCGATAGGTTGTCAAAATATGGCAATTTCATGGCTTTATCACATCCTTATACAGCTGCAGATGTGGCCAAAGTATTCTTTGATCAAGTGTTTAAGTTGCATGGTCTTCCTTCTACCATTGTTTCAGATAGAGATGCTGTGTTTACCAGCCATTTCTGGCATGAACTTTTCACTTTACAGGGCTGTAAGCTGTGCCTTAGCATTGCTTATCACCCTCAAACGGATGGTCAAACTGAAATTTTGAACAAATGTTTGGAGAACTACCTCAGGTGTATGTCTGGAGACTGTCCTAGGCAATGGGCTAAGTGGCTCTCTTTAGCTGAGTGGTGGTATAATACCACCTATCATGCTGCCACCAAAACTAGTCCTTACTTTGCAGTCTATGGACAAGAACCTCCTGACCATACTTTTTGCCTTTCCACACCTTCTTCAGTAGCAGTTGTGGATAATTGGGTAAAAGAGAGGGCTGCTATTATCAGGACCTTGAGGGAGCATTTAACTCAGGCACAGCAGAGGATGAAACATTATGCTGATAAGGGCAGGTCTGAAAGGGAATTTGACATTGGGGACTGGGTGTTCCTTAGGTTACAACCTTATAAGCAGACTACAGTGGCTTTGCAGAGAAATATGAAGCTATCTCCAAGGTTTTATGGACCATATCAGGTCTTGGAAAGGGTAGGTTCAGTAGCTTATAAGCTGGAGTTACCAACAACTACTAAAATTCACCCTGTTTTTCATGTCTCACTGCTTAAGAAGAAAATCGGGACTAATGTGTTAGCTCACACTACTCTTCCCCCAGTAGGTCTTGAGGGAACTTTGCAACTGGAACCTATGGCTGTCTTGGATAGGAGGATGGTTCAGCGGGGTAATAAGGCTGTGGTTCTGTGGTTAGTCCAATGGACTAATTCTTTTCCAGAGGATGCTACGTGGGTTGATCATTCGGAGATAGAAGCAAAATATCCTCAATTTCAGCCTTGAGGTCAAGGCTATTTTTCAAGTAGCAGGGAATGTTATGTCAAGAAGGTTCTAGATTATGGGTCACTTGAGGGAAGTTAGTTAGGTAGTGGTTGAGAGATTAGTTAGTCAGTCAGTTACATCAGTTGTGAATTAGTTAGTCAGTTAGAAGTGTGAAGAAGTAGTTATAAATAGTTGAGGAACTCCCATATGGAGAGGTATGTAAAATTCTAAAAAAATAATACACAGATTCTGCACTTTCTTTTGCTTCTTCTTCCTTAGCTACTACATTTGATGATTGGATTACTTAGGCTTTCATTAATTTTTTTTTTTTTTTTTCTCTTGCCTTCAAACTGTTTGATAAAATGTCTCTTAGGCTTCTCAAAATTCTAAGCCACAAGCCTAACTTATTGGCAGTGTAATTGGTGCTCAAACATGTACTGAATCAAGCCCACAACAGCTCCAAATCTTAATCTGTGGGTGGGCGAGTAGTAGTACAGTTTGGCATCTGTCCTCAAATCGAATGTGCAAAACAAGGCAGCATTCCATGTATTTTATAATCAATTGTTCATGTCAGTAATAACATGTCTCATGCATTGTCGGATGTACACTATTTCACCTAGCCTATGTTATGATTCAAATTTTGAGAGGACAAAAAATATATAACTTCTCAATTATTAATATAACATACATAATTTTTACAATTTTTCCATCCTTGCCTCTGTCCCACCTCACACTGGTAAAAGATCTCACACTATTGTTGTTGTTGTCCTCTCCACTCCACCAAGTCCCATCCCATGTGATTCTGCGTATTTTGTGGGTACTCCACTATTGCCCTTCCCTTCCCTTGTCTTCACCCAACCTTTTTTTATTCTTTTTTTCTTTTTTTTACCAACCAGAGAGACAGAGACAAAGACACTACTCTGTGAAGCTTGTTTTCCATGTACATAAAAATCATGTGAGTTGGTTGGTGGTGATTATCTTGAGTTGAGCCATTTTTTACTTAAAAACAACCCCAATTCATTCATTCATGTTGTAGAGTTATTATGTGATTTACATTTGGGGTTGTCCTCATCCTTCCACTCTTTCACTGTGTATGTACATTTTATCAGTAACTAAGATCATATGATAATATTACAAACCAGAATTTAAAACCAGTGCTTATTTCTTTATATAACTCTCAAACTGTTTAGTCAATATTCATTCATTGCATTTTCAGTTAGCTCATCACTGATAACTCATCTTGTGTTTCATCATTAACTGATATATTTGATTTTATTGACTGTGGTTGCTTGAACTCATTTGTAAATCAACTAGAAAAGGTTGCTGGTCTATGGTGGGAGAGGTGAGATACTCCCTTCCTTCCTTCCTTCCTTCCTGATTGTTGCTTGCATCCATCTATGTGGCCTTCAATTGACACGACAGTTTTTTCAACTTATGTAGGAGGTGAAGGGCCCATCATGGGTGATTTATGAGCTTTGAAAGGTCTTATTGAAGGTGTTGTGTTACTTAACCATCTTTTCTTCTAATTATAAATTCATTTTTAGTCTGTTTCCGTTTCAAGCTACTGCACATGGGATATATTCTTCATTTCATCCCATAGTTTTTGCTTCATGCTGTGTTTTGAAAAGTTTTCTTCCTTCTCAAAATTCTCTGTTATTCTATGTTTATTGTATGCCATGTCTTGATAGATTATGAAGTTCTTATTTTTTTGTATGTCATGTCTTCATAAATTATGAAATTATTTTTTTTCAATGGAATTTAACATGATATCATCATTTCTATTCAAGAAGCGTGACACACTCATGGCAACAATAATGTGCTTGAAAGCAAGTGAATTGTGCAACTAGCGCATCTTCTATGGTCTTCTTTATTATTTGAATCTAATTACAAGCTATAGTAATGATTCCAACTCAAGGATTAAAGATTAATGTTAGTTTCTATTCAAGAGGCTGTCCTGATTGGTGAATTTTACTTTCAATGATCAATGTCAGTTTTTGATGTGTCCTTGATAAGGATAGCAAATATGGAGATCATTAAAATGCAGGGAAACAATATATGTGAGTATAGGGTTACAGTAGCTAAACAAAAATTAGATTACAGCAAGTCATTCAAAAGCAGGGGGGAAAAAACAAAGAGTGTACTTTCCTCCAAATTAATCTGGGTATAGTTCCAACTGGTGAATGTAGAACTAGAAGGGGAGAGAGAGAGAGAGAGAGCAGTCTACAAGATGAAATTATGAGTGGAAAAAACTAACATAGAATGGTAACTTAAATTCTAGAATTCAGGGAATAGATCAAGTCCTGAAAAAAGAATGGTAACTTAATATAAGGTCATTATCATAGAAACAAGATACATTTCTGTCATTATACCCATAAATCTTCACAAGGACGACAGCCATTTATTTTGTTTGAATTGAAATTATGGATTTTAGTTTTATGGGTTTATTGGGCTTTTTGTGGGTTTGATGTTGTGACTACACAGTCTCTCTCTCACTCTTTTACAGTTCCAATGACTTCTTCCATGTCCACTGCCTTGCCAGTCAAATGAAGACTCTGTTTCTCAACCTCTCTCTGATCTGGTAGATCATTTGAAGAATGATATATGTACACTAAATACTCTCACACAAAGCAGCTTGGAACAGATTTCCAGAGTCTACGGGAACCAGGTGATTTTCATATAATTGATTTGTCATGGTGAGTATATTTAAGTTTTTACAATCGAACAGATACTTGATATGTTAAATACTTGAACTTATATTTGAGGTAATGATGCACTTGTTCTACAACACTTAAGCTCAAACCTCAAACATATGTTCATATCCATTTGTTGCTCAACAAGTGCATCACAACTTGGTTGAAGATTGCCTCCTCAGCTTATAATTTAGATAGAACATAGCACTTGGAGGGCTTTGTTGATTGCATCAAGATGTTCAGCATCATCTTCTTTGCTTTCGTTTTTTTTTTTTCCTTTTATCCTTATTATTGTGTACAGTAGAAATAACCATCATTTCTCAGATTTATCACCTTATATGCATGTTTTTTTTCTTGTTGTATGTGAAGCAAGCAGATGAACTAGAAAACATACTAATTAAAAAAATTCTTTGATTTTTGTCGATGCAGGCAGAAGCATTTCAAGTATTGAGGAGAAAGCCAATACAGGTATCTATTGTCGCATCTCATTTAATTGTTTTTGCACATTGCTATGCAAAATTCATGATGCTTGTCAGAAAACAAAATGCTAATTGATTGGCAATAATTTGCTTCAAGATGAAATTGATGTGTTCACTTGGGTTTGTTTCTGGAAATTCTTCTGCCATTTATGTTGTATTGTTAATGTCCTTGAATCCTGGGTGGTTTTGTTTTATTGTTGAGCCTCATGTTTCAACATTCTTGTTTCCAGAAAAGCAAAATCATTAGATATCTAGGCACTGTAGGGAATGGTCATAATGAAACAAATGTTTTCATATGATGTGAAGATCTAGGATTTGCTTTCACTTTGAATTAGGGCAGAGGTTTTGCTGGTTACAGTTGCTGTCATGACTTAATGTTCATGCATTATTTTCAGTGGATTATGTGGTTCAATGATAGAAGTGATGAGCATAGTATTTCAGGTTTTTTCACAACTAAATTAACAGTTGAGTTGTTTTAATTATGCTACAGCGTGATGAGCATAGTATGTCTGCATCACATGGTCAGACCCATCAAACAAGCCTATGATCTTTGATAGGTCTGATCTTAAACAGTTAATTATGGAAGAACAAGCTTTATGTGGGTTGTTTTTTCAGTTTTGGATTGGTTCTTGCTAGAATTCATCTGGGTTTTGCTTGATTCGTGAAAATATGGCTGGAATTGAAGTGAAATCTGATTGGTTGTCGTGGTTTTCTGAGATGGGATTGATTTTGGTCATTAGGTACTTGAATTTCCCATATGGGGATCTATAGATTCTGCTCATTTACTGTCAATTTTCTTGTGCTGATTTTGATTGATATTATATAAATCTCAAGAGGAGGACTTGAGTTTTGAAAGTTGATTAATGGCTAATTTTGCTGAACCATCTTCATCTATAAGTTTTGCTTCGTCTTCCCATGTATCTAATGGATCGATTAGCTACAATAATCTGCATCACTTGGTCAGACCCATCAAACAAGCCTATGATCAGACCCATCAAGGATCATAGCCTGTTGGGTTGAGTCCTTTATTCTGCAATGTAACTAGCACAGAGTTGCTGGTCTACTACTTGGATTGTTGAGTAGATAAATTATTTGATTTGAAGAGTAATTATAGTGCAATACCTGAGATATGGAACCCAATACCATTGTGAGATCATTCATTATGGGTATTTCAAGAGGCTCTTCCATGTCACACACCTTTTAAAAAGTGCACAAATTAGAAATGATTGGAAACACCAAAAGCTTCATGTCATGAAAGGAAATAAAATGAGGGTGGAATGAGAAACCTTTCTGTTTTTCCTTGGCTGCTCCATTTATAGCTATCCATATATATATATATATATATATATATTGTTGGTGAATAATAACCAATATATATAATATGTATATCTTAGTGTTCCTGTGTATTAGTGAGTGCTAGTATATATAATATGTATAACTTAATGAAGTGTTTTTGTTTTCTGTTTTTTAATTATTATTATTATTTACATTTTTGTTTTCATTTTGCAACATACAAAGAACACATAAACACAACACACCCTGTCTATCATGGGAATATTTGGGATTTTCTTAATTCAAACTCTTATTTTTTTAAACTATGAACATTAACATTGTGAAAGTACTTCTCTCTTACTATCTAAATGCAGTTGCATCTTTGCAGAACACACATTGGACACTGACCAGCCAGACCTTAAAAAGAAAAATTGTTGACCAGTTAGTATTGAAGAAAAAAAACGTTGTTTTGTTCCTACTTTTGTTGTGTCAAAACATTTGTATGTCTATACATATTATGTATACTAAGTTTGGTATGAACATAAGTTTTGTCATGCTTTGTGATTTTCCAAAATTATCCCTCAAAACTAGTCTTGATGTTTGCAGGCATTGCAGCAATTTTTGGATTCAGGGGAATCTCTTCCCTTTCCTGATGGCATCCTTATAAATGGAAAACTTAATCTACCTTTAGTCGGGATCAAGGTCCGCCCCATCATTTTATTATTGGAAAATGTTTAAACAATTTTCAAGTATTTTAATCCTGTCGAAAAATAAGAAGGATTTGATTAACAATGGTTCACTTTCTTTTGCTTTTCAGGAAAAACCTACATGTTCAGGATTTCAAATGTGGGCTTGTCGACCTCCATTAACTTCACGATTTCAAATGTGGACTTGTCGACTTCCATTAACTTTTCAGAAGTTCACTATCATCCCCAGAGTCTATATGAATATAATGATTTTCGTATGATTCTCTGTTTTGTATGGAATTATTATTTTAGATTGGAACATACTTAGTTCGTATGGAATTTGACATTAAAAGTTATTTCTTTTTGGATGGTTGGAAATGAAATGGATGCAAATTGTGAAATAATTGATAATATATGTATTGTTTTGTTTGTATACATGGTGTAGGTTGCATGGAATACATACAGGTAAGGTTGCATGGAATACATACAGGTAAAAAAAAAAAAAAGTCATGTTTTTGGCCACTAAATAATTGGTAGCCAAAAAGGAAGTAAATATTTTTAGCGACTAAATAGTTAGTAGCTAAAAAAAAATGAAAAAAAAACTTTTGGTGACTAAAATTTTAGTAGCCAAATAAAAAAATAGACTTTAGGCGACTAAAACATTTAATAGCTAAAAAAAATAAGATTAAACAAAAAATTTGGCTACTAAATAAATTAGTCATCCAAAATAATTTTACTTTTGGCGACTAAATGTTTTAGTCGCTGAAAATACGATATTAATTTTTTTTAAAGCTTTTGGCGACTAAAAGATTAGTCGCCAATTTAGCCTATCGACGACTAAATTTTTTTTGTCGCCAATAACCTTTACTTTTGGCGACTTATTATTTAGTCGCCAATTTAGTACTTTCGGCGACTAAATTTTTTTTAGTCGCCAATACCTTCCCCGACCGTCTTCTCGCAACCAAGCCGGCAACCAAACTAGGTAGTCGGGGAAACTTTTCGGCGACTAAAAATCTAACTTTTGGCAACTAAAAATTTTGTCGCTAAAAGTGTAATTTGTTGTGTTGGCAGTTTGATGATGGAGAAGGTATGAATGAATGAATTACTCATTCTTATACAGAGCAAAGTCTTTCTATGGTGGTGGTGGAGCAGCCCAGCCTGTCAAGCACGGCAACCATGACTTCCAAGCAAGCTACACTTCCTGCATCAGCCAATGCCATGATTTCGAAGTTGGCTACAGTAAGTCTTTGTCTTTAATTAATTCCAATGGGCAAATTACATCTTAAATGTATTTTATCCATTACCTCATTTTAGTTTGAGTAATTTTAATTAGTTGGATTTCAAATTCTTAATTTTATATTTCGTGTTAATTTGGTTCGATTGATAATATTAATTAGGGTTCTTGAAAAATATTATTTTGTTAAGGTTAACTTATTGAATTGAGTAAGTTTACATTTTTTTTTGTCTATAAAGATATGGCACATGTCACTCATGTAACCATTTTGCACAGAAAAGAATTAAAAGTTAATCATAAATTAATGTCAAAATCCAATCCATTGAAATTATAAAGACAAAAAGGATGTAAGACCAAAAATATAAAGACTACTGATATAATTTGTCATGAATCAATCACAAGTTGGTAATTGCCTCAGCTATTTACAAAGCAAGTAATAGAACATTTTGAGATTGCTTTGCTTTTTTACTGAACAAAAGCATAAGATTAAGATTCATCATTTTTTATTGTCATATGGTTGAAAAACATATGAATTTGCCAGGTATTATTTTTCACAATTTCTTTGATGAAATATTATATAAAAACAAATAGGCCTTTTGGATTTTTTACTAAATATATTTTCCATAGTACAAGACAATAGAAAACGATGAATAGTTCTTTTGATCAAATTGTTGAGTACGATTTTATTTAAAAAAAGTTTATTCAATTTTTTCAATTAAAAAATATATTTTTTAAAGTAAATTAAAATTATTTATATAATTGTTGTTCATATTTTAATAAGAATGGTATAATTGGAATAAAAGAAATTATTAGGGAAAAGTGAACTTTTTTAGAATAAACTAGAAAAAAACAAGACTTAATTGTCCACATTGAAATTTAATAGGACTCAATAATACTCTAAATAAGATTTATTGATATGTTTTTTTAAAAAAAAAATTGACATTTTGTTATGCCAATTTGTGACAAAATTACACATTTTATGGTTGATATTACAAAATTTTATAGTAAAGATACATATTTTATGATAGGATACATATGATATGTACCTCTAAAGGGGTGTGGGGCGCACGGCATAACATTTTCATATATTTAATATCATATATATACATTGTTACCTTTTTTTCATTTTGAGAACTATATATATCATTTTATATGTAAAAATATATTATATTAAAATTATATAAAATAAAGTGAGTTTTTCGATTTATTACTCATTTTATTAGAAAATTGATTATCTCATTTGTTATCAAAAATTAATACATACACTATTGATATAATTTATCCAAATATATTTTACGCGTTAATTGTAGTGATCCCAAAGCAAGTCAAGATTGGTCATTAGTCAAGAAAAAGTTGGAGTTGGTATCAGAAAGCAAGCAAGAGCAAACGGAACATTATGAGACTGAAATTGTTAGATAGATGGGAGACCAACCAACCTTGGGTGGACAAAAGAGAGAGATAAATTTTTCCAAGTCATCCAACCAATACAAAAGTCTATTTTGACAACTTGATTAAAAGTTAATTTTTTAGATATATTACTTTTTTACATGTATTTAAAGAAGTCATCAAAAAAAGATTAAAAAAATTTATTTTTAACCTACTTTTCAAAATATCCCAAAGTTTAGCCTCTTGCCCTTTTTGTCAATTTTATACAAACTAGGAGTGTAATTTGGACAGGTTCAATTCAAGCAACTCAAGCTCAGTTTGAATATTTTTAAGATTTAGATAAGATATTTTTGAATTTGATATGGGCTTGGGCAAAATTTTAGAAGTCTGAATTAAATTTGGATTTGGATAAAGACATCAAAAAATCCGAGTAGCTCAAAATTCGAATTATATATATATATATATATATAGATATATATAAAAATATTAAATATACATACAAAATATTAATCATTACATGATATTAAACAATTTAAATCATTAAATCATATTGAATATATTATATATACATAACACAAAATCTGACAATTTTTTATTCTCACTCATAAATTATAAAAACTACCATAGAGGCATCTTTCTTATATTATATAAATTATTTGTTTTGATATTATCAATGATTTTCTAAAAAATTATGAATAGAATCTAATTTTAATGAATTAATAATTTAGCTACAAAAAAAATAAAATAAAATTTGTGCAATTCGGTCAACTCGGGTTTAATTTGGATCGGATTTGGATAGACAACCTAAGGTTACAAATCAGACCTGGGCAGATCTTAGCACAACTTAAGCTAAGTTTCAACAACTTCCCAACCCGATCAAACCCGCTCGAGTTACCCCTAATACAAACCTTTCCCATCATCACGTTATAATTTTTTCCATTTCAATTTTGGTTAAGGGTGATGCTAAATCAAGGGATAAACGTTTTTTTTTTCATCAAATTCTTTATTAAATTCAATTTGTTGAAAATTTAAAAATATATGGTATTAGATATGATGTTTTTCATGAAAAAAAAAAATGTTTTGGAATGAGATGGGATATTTAAAAATATTTTGAAAAAAATTTGATGAAAATGTTAAAATTGTTTATATCAAATCAAAATTTTTTCTTTAAATTTGAATAAAATTAGATAATAATAGTAGTGAAAGGCTAGAGATACTCTTACATGAAAATTCGACAGGCTCGATTTGGAGTATAAATAAGGTATGCAAAAAAAAAAAAAAAAAAAAAAAAAAAAAAAAAGAACACAATTACATTAGACTATTTAAAATTCTAATTTATATAACATTCATTAATTTTTATTAATAATTCATTGATCACATGAATGGAAAATGATATTATTTTTTTATATTGAAAACGAATATATTTTACTTTATTTATCTTATTGATTTTGCATCATCTACATTAGTATCAGTCCATTTAACATGATTATTATATCAAATTATAGAACTAGTTATATTTTCACTAAGGCTAGGTTTAGCATTCCCTAAAAAAGTCAAAAAGTCAATATCTTACATCATCTTATTTAAATCACATCACATCTTTACCACATTACTTCAAACCCAATCCATATTTCATAAAAAGTCAAAAAGTGTACTTATTTAAAACATCCTAAACAATCCTTTAATCTCAAGAAAAATCAATATAATTTGCCATCTCATTTTATCATGTTTGGCACCAAATCAAAAACTAAATTTTGAGCTTAGTAAAAAGAAAACCCCTATATGGAAACATCAGCTAATCAATTTGTTCGGCTTTTGAATGTGAAAATGAGCATCCTACTCTTCACATGAGAACATTTTGTGTCGTGGGAGAGTTGGAAATTTTTTAGTTGTGGGAAATTGTTTTCTTTCTTACTTTTTATCAGCTAAATAAGCTATTGTTAAACAGGCTATTTGATTTTTGCTCAAATAGCCAAAAAAAAAAGAAGGTATTTTAGACAAAGCCAAACAAGGCTTTAATGCTCATAGCAGTTATTCAATGTTCATTGTATTTGGGAGAGTTGGCAGAGAAACTGCAACGATATAAAAAGACAGATTAACTTCTTAGAATGCCAAACTGTGTGTGTGAAGTTTTCCTCAGCAGTTATTTCCATGGTTGCTTTGTTATGGAATAAACCACAGATACAAACAATAGCAAAACGATCGATTGAGTAAGAGATGTACAATACTAATCAGGCTTTACAATCCCAACAATTTTCTTGCCTATAAGTAACTTTTTCAATCAAAACTCTCAAAATCACCATTTTCTTACTATAATTAATCACAAAATTCCCACACAAATTACCACACTTCTACGGAAACAAGTGCTAATAAATATCTCCAGTTTGATCCCCCAACCGCCATTGAAAAAAACAAATTATCAACAATTCTGTTTATTGATAGAAAGATGTGGAGGTGACAACATGTAGGAAGCTCACCTATACTACAATAGCAACTGGTAAAAACATTGCTAAACAAGTAACATATAACATTATTTTCAATGTGAATTCTCTATGTAGAACCCAACATTTCTGTCATTCAAAATAATTAAGAATGTACCAAGAGGAATGACTTGAGTTGTAACTTGTAAGATTGCATTTCAAAGTTAAAAACTTGGCAATGCCTAGTCTTCTGTAGCTGAAATCCAATTTAAAAGCAACTACATACAAAAGTGCAAATCTCTAAAGGTAGTACATGATGCGAGAAAAGAAACAACGAAGAGTCATGACATGCAACTCTTATTTAACTCGTGCTTTAAGAAAACCAAACGAAGCTTTAGGTTTCAATACATCAACAAGGGTAAAGCTTTTGAAGTGATCCTGTATAGCTACTATCTGGATGCACACACTCAAATGCAGCAACTAGGTGAGAAACCCCTTCAACTGGATACCATTGTTTTATTGTGCTACTGAACAGATCTAGTACTGAAATAAAACATCAGTAACTCAAACACAACATATACATATAAACCATAAAAGCTAATCCAACAAAGTACTGCTTCAAAGATAAATTACTTACCTAAATGACGCCATTTGTTTTTGCGGATTTCTTCTTTCATTGCATCAGTGGGCACCCTTGTTGGACCTTTTCACCTTCTTATATTGTTTTCCTTCAACAATTTTCATAAGCCATTCTGGTTTTCGAGTTACGAACATAAGATATCCCATAACCATTCCAAACACAAATCCGCATCCATACCCCATCGCTACAACTTTCCAGCTAAATCCACTTGACCTGTTTGAATTCTCGTCTTCGTGGAGCGTTGGCGGAGGTGGCAGTGGCTGTAGTTCCTCACATTTCTTTGATAAGGGGAATCCACATAAATCCCAGTTCCCATTGTATGAATCTTTTCCAAATGTATTAAACTGTCTCCCTTGAGGAATTTGTCCCACTAGATGGTTATATGAAAGGTTTAGTACCGCAAGAAACATCAAACTTGTCAGTTGCTGAGGAATCCCCCCAACAAGCTGGTTTGAGGAAAGGTCCAATGATTCAAGGTTGCTCATGTTTCCAAGTGAAGTTGGGATATGGCCTTGAAGGTTGTTATGAGATAAGTTAAGACCCCGAAGTGAATTAAGCCTCCCAATGGATTTCGGAATCTCTCCTATAAATTTATTGCTTGATAAATCAATGATTGAGAAGACTGTTAAGATCCTTGAATATTCAATTTCATGTCCCTTTACGATCACCACCACATAATCTTTGTAATACATATCACCCATGTATTTTAATTTCAATTCATGTTCATCCACATTCATCATAGCTTCAAATCGTGAGATATAATTGGTTGGCAAAAGGCCAGTAAACTCATTGTAAGATATGTCGATAATCCTCAACTTAGGGAAATGAAGTTTGCTCTTTGTCTTGAATGTGTTTATGTGACCATGAAACCTATTAAATTTCAAGACAAGAACCTGCAACTCTGGAAGAGTTTCCAACCAGTAGGGGAATGTATCATTTATCTTGTTTCTTCCAAGATCTAGAACTTCTAAACGTCCACAATTGAGCAAAGATCGCGGAACTTGTCCTTCAATCTGGTTGTCATTCAAGTTAAGATTCCTCAGCGTGCTGCCTTTCGCAAATATTGCAGTAAAGGCGCCACGAAAGCTATTCATTCGTAAATTCAACACCGAGAGACTATTGCTTAAGTTTCCCAAACATTGTGGAATCATACCACTCAAACTATTATTAGACAAATCAAGAACTTTAAGCAACCCTAGACCACAAATCAATGGAGGGATTTCTCCTGTAAATTTATTACTTGATATGAGGAAAACAGTTGTGGTGATAGGTGGAACAGGGAGTGGTCCATGGAGTAAGTTGTCGTGCAGGTCAATATATTGTAGTGCCAACCATGGAAGTTTCTCTAAACCCGTAGAAAGAAAATTATGAGAAAGATCTAAACGAGTCAATGAAAATTTCCCCACATCCAATACCCATTTTGGAACTTCACCATGAATTTTGTTGTTTGAAAGGTCTAGAGAAAACAATCCAGCCTGTTCTCTCAAGAAGTTTGGGAATTCAGTTAAGTTGCAAGAACCTAATCCTATAATCTCAAGGCTAGGCAAGGTAGTAGAGTTGAGACTATTGTTGATGCTCAATGACAGACCATTATATGAGAGATCAAGCAGGGACATATATTTTAGCTTTAGAAGCTTATCTAGCTCCACTACACCACCTAAGTTATTTGATGAAAGATCCAAGTATGTCAGGTTCGCAAGTTCATAAATTGATCTTGGAATTGGTCCTTGCAGCTTATTGTTTCTCAAATCTATAGAAACCAATGAAGGTTGAGCAAACAACCAAGATGGTAATGTCCCATTGAGAGAGTTATTACTCAATCCGAGAAAAGTTAGCTTTGAAAGCCCAACTGCATACAAAGGAATGGGACCTATTAGCTGATTTCCAGAAAGGTCCAAGAAAGCAAGTTGGCTCATGTTGCCAATGGAATTTGGTATTTGTCCGGAAAAATTGTTAATAGAAAGATCCAAGTCAATAAGCTTTGCAAGGTTCGAAATTGATGGGGGGATTTGACCGCTAAAAACGTTATGCGAAAAGTCTAAACTAGTGATTTTTGTAAGGTTCCAAAAAGAAGCTGGAATGGACCCCGAAAAGTTAGAGCTTGAGACGTAAAACCTATTCAAGGCTCTGAGATTGTCGATTGAATCAGGCAATTGGCCAGAAAAACTTGTCCATGAGAGATCAAGAAACTGAAGGGAACTAGTCACATTAAAGTTTGGAAGTTTACCCGTGAGGTCCCCGTTATACTGTACAATGAGCTTCTGTAGGTTTGGAAGGTGGAAAATGTTTTCTAGAAATTTCCCATGCAGTTGACAAAAACCAAGACTAAGAGATGTTAAAGAAGACAGATTTAACAAAGCATGAGGTAAAGGCGAAGAGATATCCACCCAATCAAGGTGTAGTTCCTTTAATTGGGTTAGGTTCCGAAGGATCATATTGAAAGTGTGTTGTTCAAGTCTCCACTGAGAATTATAATTAGACATATCAAGGGAAATCAATTTAGATAGATGACAAATTTCTGAAGGAATTGGGCCTGCAAATAAAGAGTTAGAGAGGTTGAGGTGGGTCAAACTCGTGAATGAGCCAAACCTGGATAAAATTTTAGAGAAGCTGAAGTCATTGAAGGCAAGATTGAGCCTCTGGAGCTGACGAAGATGGAAGAGGCTGCTGTTACCTTGAATGGTTCCTTGAAGCTTGCTGCAACTGAGGTCAAGCCCAATTACATGACCATTCAACCAGTCACAGGTGACCCCATCCCATGAGCAGCAATCAGTGCTCTCATTCCAGAACACCATTTTAGGGTGAGAATAAGTTTCACACTCTGGGAAGGTAAGACCACTAGTTGTGGTGAAAGTTTTCTTAAATTGAAGGAGTGAGAATTTCTGGTCCTCAAGGCACATATGGTGTGCAGAAGTAGAAGAAGACCATGACGATGAACATGTAACAACTTGAGAAAACAAGAGAGATACCAGAATAAGTTGATGAAGCCATATTAGCCAACTCATTTTCTGCTTACAAGTAGGAATCAGAGATCAAAAGGAAGGAATAAGTTGGATAGTTGATGGTAAGAGGAAATGTATTCTTATACACTGCTAAGTCACACAAAGTCTTTTGCCCGTCAAGGCTGTGCAGCCCGTCATTGACTGCAACTTTGTAATTTATCCATCAGCCATGACTTCCAAGTTGAAGTTGGTGGGATATTTCTCAAGGAACGTGGCTGGAAATAAGTAATTTGAAGTTCACACATGTTGAACTTTCAAAATGGCAAAACTTGTACTGTGAGAGAGAGAGAGAGAGAGAGAGAGAGAGAGATTTCCAAATCATCCAATACAAGGTCAACCCTCAGTCTCTTTATATCAACTTTATACAAACTTGTTCCAACCTTGTGTTACAATTTTTTCCATTTTAATTTTGGCGAAACATTGAAATATGATCTCATGTACTCATTTTTATGATCAAAATTTTCAATTCTTCATAGTTCCAGATTAGATTATAGATGTACTTTCAAGCCACAGACAACTAAGGAAACAAAAATTTAACACCGGGGAATGAAATCTTGTTACATTGACAAAAAAAATTGACTGATTTGTTTGGCCAATTTTTTTCGCATGAACTTTTAGCAATTCAATTAGGATTTTTAGTTTAAATTAAGATAGCTAATAATTTTTAACTAAGGGTGCAACTCAAACAGATTCAATTGGGTTGAGGGGTTGCTCAAGTTGTGATTAGAGTTGTCCAAACTAAAGTCCAACCTCCAACCCAATTTTGTGTGCTCAAGGCTGGCTCAATGTCAATATATTGAACTTGGGCATAAGAAGCTGTTGCACATAAATTTAATAATAAAAATTAAAAATAAAAATAAAAGTATTGTCATTCACTAATTACAGTTTTTTAAGTACAAACAACTAGGTGATATGAAATTGGCATTAACATCTAATGAGAACAGTTGCGTCAACAAAATTTTTATAAGAAAAAAACGTAATTGGAGTCAAAAAAGAAAAAGAAAAAGATGTACCTTCCAAGGCCAAAGTGTGGTGATTGAAGGTTTAAGCCATGGAGAAAAATGCAGAGAGACCACCAAACCAAACCTTGATCTTTGAGAACCAGAAGAACCTGCGACACTTTCAGCCAATAACTGTTCAATAACGAGATTGTGAATCACCCGCTTCCACCGCAAAAACTCTTCGGCACCAAAACACTAATTCCCCTCCAGAAACCGTAAATTCACATTCGCAACCCAGTCTTCTACAACACCATGAACCTCACTATCTTGAAGTGAATAAGTCACTGCGAATGTACGGAACGACACAATTAGTGGGGAGAGTATAACTACCCAAAATTATTAAAGAATTGTTTAAACAAATTCATTCTCCATCGTATGCAAATTCGATCCCAACCAACAATCTCTTGGGATAAATTTGGAATTAGATGCATGTAAAAGAAATTAACTAAAATATTAAAAAAAAAAAAAATGTACACAAATGTTTTTTCAAATTTTCATATATTTTTTAGTATTTTTTTTAATTTTTTTTCCAACAACACCCCCCAAAGAAGTTGACCAAAAATTTTACCAAATGTCTAACATATGAGATATAGGGTGATTCTACACTCATATGAGACATTTGACTTGATCGATTTCTTGGTAAAGAGTTTGTACCAATTTTTTTATCTAATTTATTTTTACTTTTTAAATACATATTGATTAGTTACATCTAAAAAGTACTAAACAAAATTAAAATATTAAAAAAACAATAAAAATAATTTGGATAAATTACACTGAAGCCTCCTGAGGTTTATGTTTATTATAGTTCACCCCTCACCTTTTGAAAATTACATCTCCCTCCCTGAGGTTTAAAGTTTCATTACAGATTCCCCCCTCAGCAATTTAATTTTTTTAAATACCAATTTTGCTCTCACTGGATAAATTACATTGACACCCCTCACATTTTAGAAATTACAATCGCCTCTCTAAGGTTTAAAGTAGCATTACCAATTGCCCCTCGGTTAGTATTAGTTGGAAAAAAATTCATTGAAAAAAAAATTAATTGAAAAAAAAAATTGATTGAAAAAAAAAAAATTTGTTAGTGAAATTTTTAAATTTCTATTTAAAAATCAACGTAAACTCATTTTTTGAAATTACGTTTTTTCCTCAAATTTACAAACTGAGACAACCATTTATAAACCAATAAATTATCAAACAAGTTTTTATAACAGTTTTTAAAATTTTTGTAAATATAAATTGAAAGCTGAAAACGAAATGGTTACCAAATAGGCTTCAGATGGCAAAAATGTTGTAAAATTAACAAATAATTAAATAAGTTACCAACATAAGAAATGATTTATCAAAAGATTCTTAGGCTATGTATGGTTTGATTTTTAGAATTTTTTTTAAAAAATTAAAAATTAATTTGGTTAAGAAATAAAACATAATTATCATTTTTATATAATTTTTATCTTTCGAGTGGTTAGAAATATTTATTTACAAATTAAATTGAAACAGCCATACGTATTTATATAACCTGCCCAAAAGTTAAAATGATAATTATTTTTTACCCTTAAATGATAATTATTTCTTATTTCTTATTTCTTAACCAAATTAATTTTTAATTTTTAAAAAAAAAATCTAAAAATCAAACCATACATAACCTAAGAATCTTTTGATAAGTCATTTCTCACGTTAGTAACTTATTTAATTATTTGTTAATTTTACGATATTTTTACCATCTGAGACATGTTTGGTAACCATTTTGTTTTCAGTTTTCAATTTATATTTACAAAAATTTAAAAAAACTGTCATAAAAACTTGTTTGATAATTTTTTTAGTTTATAAATTGGTGTCTCAGTTTGTAAATTTGAGAAAAAAACGTAAATTCAAAAAATGAGTTTACGTTGGTTTTTAAACAGAAATTTAAAAATTTTATTAACAAAATTTTTTTCAATTAATTTTTTTTTAAATAATTTTTTTTCCAACTAATAATAGCCGATGGGGCAATTGGTAATACTACTTCAAACCTTAGGGAGGGGATTGTAATTTCTAAAACGTGAAGGGTGTCAATGTAATTTACCCAGTGAGGGAAAACTTGGTATTTTAAAAAATTAAATTGCTGAGGAAGGGGAATCTGTAATGAGACATTAAATCTCAGGGAGGGAGATGTAATTTTCAAAAGGTGAGGGGGGAACTGTAATTAACATAAATCTCAAAGGGTGTCAATGTAATTTACCCAAATAATTTTTAAAAAAATATGAACCAAACAGCGGAAAACCCCATTATCCAACGTTTATACAAATTAATAAATAAATAGAACCTCTAGTAGACCCTGAGACGTGGATGAAGATATCTTATAAGCTTAAAGTAGCCTCGTTTGGTAACTTTCAGTTTTAGTCAAAAATTCAAAAAGTTATTACAAATTGTTACGTAACTCTCTTTATTTTTCTATATATCTTTTCATAAAAAGTCAAAAAATCAATAAAATAACATGTTTCCAAATGGGGAAATGACATTATTTTGAGATGTGTAGTTCGCAGGATGTTCTTGACATTCTTATTTGCGGCTTCAACGGCTCCGTTGGTCTATGGTCTATATGTTGATGTGCATATATATTGCACATCAAGATCCCTGACGTACTCGCACTCCTCCAAGTAGTCAACCGAAATCTGTTAAGCCGTCCCATTCGGCCGCCAATAGATGATCGTGGCCAGAATCACAGGCATACCAACCACGTGTACATCGACGGCAGCCCCTCCAATATCAGGCTCAGCCGCACGAGCAGCACCTCTGGTAACAAGTGCACCAGCATCACCTCCTGCGCGAGCTCCGATCAGAGGTGACATGAGGTGGGTCCTGATGAACTCGGTGTAATCCTCGACCCTTCGAAAGAGATCGGCATCTTGTCCCACTATGAACTGTACGATAGCCTCGACTAGTAGACTATCAGCAATCCTCATCGATGTAGGGGCAGCAGCAGGAACGACGGAGGCTGGTAGACCTAGGGTCTAGCGCACAAACCTCTCTCCTACGTACCAGGTCCGGTAGAAAGGACCCTCCAGCAAGATCTGTAACCTGGAGGTGTCCCAAGAACTAGCATACCCATCCCTGGTCCCGGCCGACATCGCTACCCATGGCTACCACATCACCTGCAAATAGAGAATTCACAATTGTTAGTTGTTATCAGCTGTCAGAGAATGGAATGGGTCAAAACAGTAGCAGTGGAATGAGTATGAGTTTTAGACTACCTCGCACTCCGTCACTATGTCGAAGAAACGGCGATAATAGGCGAAGGTGGTGACACTGCGGCATCGAGGGTGGCACCTGCCATCGTATCACCTGGAGTAGGGAACCGTTGCCTGCGTCTCATCCCGTAAAGCCAGGTCAAAGGTGGGGAAGTAGGCATATACCTAGAGTTGCAAAAAAAATATCAACTTGTAAACCAACAGGCAGAGACATAAATAAAAGGCAGAAAGTGCAAAGCAGAAAGCATAATGTACAAACAAAAATGGAAACAGAAAGTGCACTGTGTACCTCCCGGCCCTCCAGTAGCCTCCGACCTTGTTCCCCATCTTGCGGGAACCGAAGCTCATGTAGCCGTCCAGAGTGGCAAGGCCAGCACCACCCCAATTATAGAACCACACCCAATGCAACACCACCAAAGTGCTGAGCAGGTAAAGACCTACGGTATTCCACCTATTCGCAAATAAAGTGGTACCGAGAAGATAGATCAAGAAGCCCCGGGCGTACTGCTTGACTTGCTCCTGAGTCTCTGGCTAACTCCCATAGAAGTGGTCGTAGAACTAACTATATTTGACCATAGCCAGCCTGTCCAAGAGAGGGCATGCTCTGAGCAGATAGATCCAAGCAGCCTCTCACTAGTCCATATCAACATCGAAGGGGATCGGATCACCCCTTACTCGCAGTCCCGTAAGCATGGAGAAATCATATAGGATCATCGTCATCTCCCCTGTGGAGGATAAGTGGAAGGAGTGGTGTCCCACTACCTCTTCACCAAAGCACCAAGTAAGGCTCGAC